CGTCGCCGTCGTCGCCGTCGCCGTCGTCGCCGTCGTCACCATCCTGCCGGTGATAGCCACGGCCGCTGTTGCCGTGTCCACGCACGCACGTGCGATCCTCGTACCTACGACGTGCCGCGTCCTCGACGACGACAGCGTTCGTCGTGTCTGCTGGGCTCATCTCTTATCGGCTAGTAACTAGTGATTCTCGTTTTGCCCAAGTGATCAATCAAATTGGGAGAGCGTGGAGGAGAGAGGGACGAATTGAAATCTCTCCAGTCGGTAGAGATAAATCCAAGACAAGGAGCAAGGAGGAGGCGGATTCAGTTCCTAAGGAGAGAAAGAGTGTGAGGGAGAAGGGTGGAGGCCGGCCTGTTTTAATCGATCGGAAAATTGCGCGTTTTTTCTCTGTGTGTTGGTGGAGTGTCTGGTGAATTTATTCTGCCCTGGTCGAGGTTGTGTGTCGTTGTACAGTGCCTCCAAACGATACCACAACATCCGATCCCAAATGAAGAGTTCGGAGCAAAATGGTTAGAGAGACACGTCACCTGTGGGTTGGAAATCTGCCGGAAAACATCCGAGAGGATCGCATCAGGGAGCATTTCAAACGGTAAGATATGTTATTCTTTTTCTTTTTTTCCCCTTCTTTTCTTTTCCTTTTTGATGATGAGAACCTCTGCGTGTATACACGTATGTGACGCACAAACCTTTCGCTTAAACCTCTCGACTATGTTTCAGCTTTAAATCCATCGCCTCCGTAAATCGCGTTTCGTGGTTCGTAGATCGTAGATCTAGTTTTGTATATAATATACATATGTCCCCTCCACCCCCCCCCCACCGTATCAATACATTCTTGCTCTGTAACGTTTTGCCGTATTGATTTAGAACAGCACAAAAGTTGAAATTTTCAACACAGACAGGCACATGTGTGGGTATCACCGGCCTCGAACTTGAAAGATAAAAGATAGAGCTTTTTTCTTCCTTTTTAAAAGTGGGAAAAGAATATTTCGTAGCTTGCAATCTCAAATTTACCGATAGATTTTTCTGAAAAAATCAAAGTTAAACTTTTCTTAGCGAAATAATATTCAGGAACTAATAATTTGTAGATAAATAAATAATTTTTAGATAAATAATATTTATTTATCTAAAATAAGAATTTTAAGCAATTGAAAGAGGAAGTGTTTCGTTTTGATTTTACTGTAATTGCATGGTAAAATAATTACGCTTAGAAACTCTATTTGTATAGTTATTAAACTGTAATGCTATAGTGAGAATATAATTATAATTTTTTTTATATTCCAAAAACGTATATTTTAAATATAAATTTAAAAAAATATTTTTTTTAGGTACCAACTATGTATATATTTTTTATGTAGAATTGTAAATATAGTTATTTTTATTAATATGGCAATAACTATAAAAATGGATTAAACAATACAATATAGGGCTAAGAAAGTAACAATATTATTGTAAGCAATATAAAAACATACAGACTTTTCGACCCCTATCGGGTCCTTCTCAATGTTAAAAAATTAATTTAAATGTTACCGGTAACTACGCAAGATGATATATTGTTTACAATAATATTGTTACTCATACATTATCCTAAGTTGGTTCTTAGCTCTATATTGTATTGTTTAATTTATTTAATTATTGGAACCGTTATTATTTATTGAATTTTTATAAAAATCAAGTTCCTAACTGCAATTATTTTTTCATCCAATTATTATATATTTAATCATAAATGCGAAAAACTTTACTCTCAATGCATAAACAGATTATATGAATAAAATATAATATGTATTCATCTCATATATATCTCATAATGTATTCTTCTCAATTGAAATGCTAGCTAATAAAGTTTTAATGTTTAAAGGTTATTTTTATGAAAATATTTAATGTTGAAAATTGATAATATCTTGATAATTTCGCTGAAAAAAAATTAACTTAAAATTTAACAAAGAATTTATCGTTAAAACTAAGATTATTAAAAGTATGTCGATTTTATCGGAAAAAGAGAAGGAATTCTATATGAAATTTGCAAGTTATCCTGTTAATTTTCGATTGCAAATTAATAGCGAATTAATAGTTTTAAATATAATTTCCAAAAAATAATTATTCTGAAAATCTGAATGTTTAATTAATTTTGCGAAATTTTAAATGGAATGTTTAAAAAATCTAGCTATTATAATTACTTATACAATTTTAATTCAAAATCATATTTTTGGATATAATAAAACTAATATAAATATGGAAAATTTCTGCGTTACACTACATATATTTTAAATCTTGAATTTACATAAATCGTAAACATTGCTCGTAATTATATATATATATTTCAAAATTAATAATAATAAAGAACTCTTGATTTCAATAAACAAACACAACAAACAACAAACCACAACACAATAAATATAATAAAGGGCAAAAATAGGGATTACATAATGAATTTTATTATATAATATCCCTATTTTTCTTAGCATAAATTTGTAATTTATACTAAACTCTTACATGCCGTTTATTATATTTATTGTATATATTTCATAATAATAAAATTAATTTATTATTATAATAGATTATTAATTCTTTCACTACAAAAACTTTTGGTGTAAAACACGCAAAGCATGCAATTGCAATCGTTATAATCTCCAACACTGTAGCCAGAGTGACTTTTTGCCAGCGCATATTCTTTATAGAAATTATCGAAACGTCAAATTGTTTTACAATGAAGAAAATATTTTGGTCAATTTCTATGTTTTATTCAATTGTAATAAAAATATAAAGTGTAGCAATATTTACTTGCTAAGCATTTGTGATGAAATAAATGCCAAGGCATTAAATACACTAATAACATGGGATGACAGCCTTAATTCAGAGTCTATACTTGCCAAATTGCCAACAGCAATGAAAAGGTCGAAATATAACTAATATTTCTTATATCTATATAAAATCATCACTTTCCATGAAACATCTCTTAAAAAATATTATTATATATCATTATATTTGTAAAATTTAATGTAATTCTAGCGTAAGTTGAGGCCTCACTTCGATTTCTAAAAAAAGCTTTTAGTACAATCGAACTGTTCATGGAACGTTCTTGCATTATCGGTTTTTATCGGAGTTTTCCATATATTACTCCAGTTTGCTGTAGATTATTTGAAATGTGGCGCCATTAATCAAAGGAAATTTAAAAAGGCCGATTTTTGCTCAAAAAAGTGTAAGTAAAAGAATGTTTTTTGTAGATTTTGGTCTTCTCTCGAAAATTGAGCAAGAACATGGTATATTGATCCAAATTTCAACGTTTTTATAATTTTGCGAGATATTTCCTAAGTGCTACGACCTTTTTAATTACTTTATCCAAAAGGTCAAAATCTACAAAAAGCACTATTTCTTTAACACTATTTCTTTTACCTTTTTAGATAAAAGATCGGTCCTTCTTTCGATATGCTCCTTTGTTGAGTCTTAAGAAGATCCATGTAGACAAGGTATTGCCACTTAATATGTTTTTCTACTTCTTCTATATCGTTAGAAGTTTGAAATATCTAAAGAATAATAAATAACCCACACTCAAAAGAAGAAAATTTTTATTGTTATTAGAGAAAAAGTACCTAGATATGTATATATAAAGAGAAGAGGAAGAAAAGGACATTGATTCCATTGACCTTGAAATCTTTTAGGTTTAACAGTTTTGAATATTTAGAATTTGAACACATTTAAAGATGCTTTCACAACTCGGAGAAAATTGAAAAGAAAAGAATTCGAAAAGCGAGAGGTTTGTAGAAAGGGATTTCATTAATTTTAAATATGTCATATCGACGTGTCTCGAGAGAATAACCTTTTACTGTTAGAGAAGACATTCTGAAAAAGCTGAGTTTAGAAAAGAGTCAGGGTTGCCCCAAACTGAAAATAAAGAAAAGTGTCAAGAGAAATTGAAGATGGTCAAGAAAATTGGAGAAAAGTTAAGGAATTTTGCAAAGTTTTCTGGAAAATTAAAGTTCTTGGTTTGACATGCATACCTTACACCCACGCATTTTTTAATACTATCAACTTAACAATGAAATACAAGCAGGGTCAGCAGCATTAATAGTAATTTGCATTGCTCTGTCAACAAAAGAACGTTTATTTAACGATTTCTAAATCAGGATGAAAATATAAAAGATTTTTTCAAAATATTCTCGAAAGTCAAGGAAAAGCATAAAATTTTTGTCTGGAAATCGGGGAAAAGTTATGAAAGACGATTTTTTAAGATGAGGAATTCTAAAAAGGTGACAAGAGGAAGAATTTTGCATTATCATTTCTCGAAGCTATTATCTCGCTCCAAATCTTGGGATCCTGTATCTTTCGTGATAGTCTTCGGATTTTTGCCGCGTGTGTCATAGGTATCTGTACATATATATATATATATATATATATGTAAGAGGAAAGTTGGACGCTGTCGCATCATTTACAGGCTTGTTTTTGTTTTCGTGCAAACTGTCGGCGTTATCGCTTCGATAAACCGAGTTTCAGGAAACGCATAAGGTGTTCCAATGTTTTCGGTATGGTCCGTATCGTAGTACGCGAGGACATGCTGAAGGAAGAGAGAGAGAGAGAGAAGACAGAGAAAGAGAGAAACGGCGGCCACATGCATGCATATACATGTACATGTACTTATACGATCGCATACATACGAAGATACGTTATACCAAAGGCCTTGGCTCCGTCTCTCCTCTTCTCTTCGCGTAGCGTGAGCGCGTCGTCATTTGTTTTTTCCCCGAAGTAATAATAGCTGAGGACAGCCATTTTGAGAGCTCGCAGCAGCACGAAGTTATTGTTCGACAGTGGCGCTCAATGCGCGGCTCCGCGCGCGAGTCATCCGAACCGTTCTAGCGGAGAAATATGTATAAACCGGTTGTTAATCTTGGAATTTAATTATATCGACATGCAATTACGATTAACGCGAAGCAAATGTTTATGAAGTACATACATAATTCATTAAAATACGGAAGAAATGATTTTTCACTGTACAACTGCGACAATTGGAAGACAAAAGCGAAGAGATAGAACGAGTGAAATGCATTGTTTCTAACTATATTGCTTAGATATTCTGTTTTAGGAGAGATTGTATATATATTTTTTGGTTCTCGTACTTGTAATCTCTTACAATTAGTATCGTCGTTTAAGATCCACCAGTGTAAGATTAACTTTAATCTCTCTTGATTTAATTTATACTTAATCTTTTTCTAATTCTACGAATAAGAGAAAAAAATAAATTTTTAATTGAACCGAGATTAAAGTTAATCTTACATTGGTGAAACCGGCCTTAAATTGGCGATATGAGATACAAAAGAAAGTTCATATAACGTTTAACAATTAAAGGTTTCCATACATATTCCCTATTAGTATTTCTGCAAATCTCAAATTTATTAGTTTTTGCGAATATATTTACAAGCACATTTTAGGGATTATTTCTTAAATTATCTCTAACGCATTTGGTAGATTTGTGTAACGCATTTGATCAATTCGACCAAGTATGTGATATTATTCATTTGTTTCGTTAAAATAATACATTTTTTAACATTTTATAGTTTATACTATAAAAATGAACGATAATAAATATATAAAATGATA